TAAGCCACCAGGTCTGGGACCCGAATCACGGTTGACTACATGGGAGTCCAGCAACATAGCCATTACACCATCTGCTGGTCCCTATTAACTATTATTATTTGACGGGGTGGGGGTGGGGGAGAGAAAGTGAGAAAGCAAGCCACAGGATCCAGGACTCAACCCACGGTCGGTCATGTGGGAGTCCAGCACCTCAACCACCATGCCACCTGCTGGTCTTTCAGTTGCCCTTTTCTTCTAGGAAGGCGGACTAGATAACCAACTTCTGCAGCACTGACTACATGCCTGTCTTTGTTCTAAGAGCTCTATGTAGCTGAATCCCCAGAGCAATGCCATGAGATGGAGACTAATTCTTTTTTTATTTTCCTTCTTCTTTTAGTTTTTTATTTTGTTTTGGACATGGGCTCCCTAGAAAGAGACAGGGTGGGGGGGAGATGAGAAATTACCCCCCAGGGGGATGGCCACACTGCAACCCTTTCTTCCACAGTATTCACTCAGGGTTTTGAGCATGTGCACATGTTCCTGGCATGTTTTTTTCCTTTAGCTTTTTGTTTTTCTTTCTTTCTTTCTTTCTTTCTTTCTTTCTTTCTTTCTTTCTTTCTTTCTTTCTTTCTTTCTTTTTTTTTTTTGCTATAGAGCGTATGTGTACTCACTGCAGAGAGACAGTGAGAGAAAAAGAGAGAAAGAAAGTGAAAAAGCACCCCTCAGGGGAATGGCCATGCCATGGCTTGCCTCCAGTTGTTGTTGTTGTTTTTTTTTAATATCACACATAATCCATTTAAGTGTCCAATTTTTTTTTGAGAGTTTTTTTTTTTTTTGTCCAGTTTCTTCTCGGGATTTTGAGCATGAGCGTACAGGTGCCTGGTATGTTTTTTAAGCCACTGGGTCTGGAACTCCAACTGTACAGTCGGCTATGTGGGATCCAACTGCCTTAACCACCAAGCCACCTGCTGGTCCTGTTAGGGACTTTTAGAATCCAATGACAAGATACAAACATAATGAAAGAATAATAACTTTCAAATTTAAAACAAAGATGCGTTATATCTCTTCCTGGGTGACCATTAAAGAAAACTAGACCAATATCCTGAAAGCTTAGACAGCCATGTTGGAAATGAAAGGAAAAAAAGAAAAGAAACAAAAGGAAGAGTTAGAGACACCACACGCATCCGGTGTGAGTTTTAAGCCACCGGGTGTGGGACTCGAATCGCGGTCGACTACGTGGGAGTCCAGCGACATAGCCATTACGCTAATTGCTGGTCCCAAGTGACCAATTTAAGGACATCTAGTAAATGTAGTTTACAACCATCTTCAAAATACAATTTTACTTTATTTAACATTAGAGGGTACAAGACTGTGCCCAAAAGAGAGACAGAGAGAGCCACCTGGGGGTGATTTTTCACTTTCTGTCTCTCTCTGTCTTTCTGGCGAGTGCACGTGCCCTATAGCAAAAACCTCTTCAAAAAAAATAATAATGGTTAATAAATATTTCTTAAAAAAAGAAAGAAGGAAAGAAAGAAAGAAAGGAAGGAAGGAAGAAAGCAAGCAAGCAAGCAAGCAAGCAATTGGGCAGGTCCCCTGCTCCCAAATCCTTGAACACAAGTCATTATATTGCAAGTAAGACTTAGATGGGCCAAGGAAAAGGGAAGGGCTAGTTTCCGGGTGTCCAGAGACCCATTCTAGCTCTTGTCGGGGGTGGAGGTTGTGTCAGACAGGACCCAGCATCCAGCCTTGCCCCCTTTCTCTCCTAAGAGGAGGAGGTTCCTGAGAAGGATGTTCCTCCTTCATCTCTCAGGTTGAGGAGGGGGTGGAGTGTCCTCTACTGTCCACAATGGGAATTGCAACACCACGGCCAGTCGTGCGAGTCATGGTGACAGTTCACCTCATGTTTCAACCCTTCTGTCAATGTTGTGAGGAAGCCAGTCTGGTCCCCCTCTCACTGATAGGGACATTGAGGCTGCCCAGGGATGCACAGTTGGTACCCCCAGCCCAAATCCTCTGAAAAGGTGGCTCTAAGAACCCTGGTCTTTTCCAGTTGAAGGCATATTCACAATAACCAGTACTGCAAAATGCTTCCTACCCCTGATTATATTCGGGGATACTTGATGAAAGGCAGGTGAAGAAGGGATTCCTCCTCCAGAGAAGGACTCTCAAAATGATGACCCCCTCAGTAAAGTCCCTATGCTCAGATTTGGGAGGCTGGTAACTTCTGAAGTAAAGAAAGAAGAAACCATTGATCTGCATGGTTATGTAATAGCCATTTATTTATGTTGCATATTGAGCAGTCTCTCCTTGTGTCAACACTGTGCTCGGTATGGAACTGCAAAAATGAATGGGACTCCAGCAGGTCAAAGGAGTTTCCCAGTCCAGTTCTTGCAGATGAGACTCAAGCCCTCCCCAGGCACCTCCGCTGAGAAGAAGGTGGAGCAGAGCTGGGCTGAAGAGGTTATTCCTCTGTTCCACAAGGAAAAGAAACTTGCACTGCTGTCTAGGAATAAGTCCTTAGCACCATCCCCGAGAAGCGAGAGTCATGAAGAGTATCCTTCCAGAACTTTCTACCAGAGAGACAGAGGGAGAAGGAGGAGGATAGATCAGGGCTCTTGGGGCAATTATCAGCTCTGGAGTCCCTGTGCTGCTATGTGACCTGGCAGGAACCCAGGATGCCCCCTCATGACAGCTACTCCGGATATGTCTTCTGCAGATGACAGTAAGGGTGAGTGTTCTGAGCAACAGAACATCACCTTCTCCTCTTCTCCTTCCTCATACTCTAGTTCTTCTCAGGAGGCTTTACCTCCAGGCTCTGCAAACGGGAGGTGGGGGAGGCAGACCCTTCTCCCTTTCCTCCAAGATGCTATTCGATGACATGGAGAAAAACAATGCCCCCTCCCCCCCGTTGTCACCGTGGGGGAGTGCAAGCTGCATCTTTTGTCCCCTGACAGAAACCCTCTCTTGCCCTGGCCCCAGAATGAGATGTTTCTCTCTGTGGCTCTCCCAGTATTCCTCACCCTTATTCTAAGCCATCGTACCAATCTCTGTATTTCTGCAGATGGGAAGCAGCCATATTCCAGTAACTTGATTTTCACCGAGTAAGAACTATCCCAGAGCTCAGTCCCTCCCTCACTCTTTTACTCACAAATATTTACTGAGCACCTGTTATGTGTGAGCACTGTTGTAGGTGGAGAGGATGCAGCCGTGATCAAAAGTCCTCATTACCTACTTTCCACACTAAGCCGGCAGACAGACCCCAAAGAACAGACGTTCACAGGCTTTCCTATAACCGCAGGTTAGGTAGAAGCTAGAGAAGGCTAAAAAAGGACCCACTGGGGATGCGTCCTGCATTATCAGGACTTTTAGAGAGATTTCTCATTTTCTTTCCTTTTCTCTTCTCTGGGGAAGATGAGAGTGAGGGTCTGTGTCCCCTTCTCTGACCTCTTCAACCCATTTTGGCAGCTCAGGCTTCACAGGGCAGATCCTGGGCTTTGGGGGAGGGAGAAGCAACAGAGCCAGCCTCTCAGGATTTAGTTAAGCAGCAGGGTATTTAGATACTAAATCAGAGAAACGGAAACGGGTACTGAAAAACCTATTTATCATCTTCCGTAGGTGTATTAATACTCCCCCACCCCCCGAATTTATTTTTTTCCTGTGTTCACATTGCACACACGTACTAGATTCCTAACTACTCATTCTACAACCATTTTCTGAGCCCAGCGCATGCCGGGCACTTTTCTAGGGCCCCAGAGCAGAGGAATAAAGAGCACCCTCTGCCCCTAAGTCTCTGCTGCGCAGAGCTTGAAAGCCACTGCTGTCTCATTCCATCTTCCCTCAGCACCGTTTTTTGAGATTCATCTATAATATGTTGATTCATGAAGCTCTCTAAAGGACAGATATGGACCTTCCCATTTTACAGATGCGAAAACCGTGACTGCTACGGGAAAAGCGTGTTGCTATGCGGCAACGAAGTCCCAGAACACCACCGGGCCACGTGCAGCGGCGCATTTGGCCCCTCGAGATCCCACCCGCGCACGCTCCCTCCTTCCCTCCCTCCCAGCCGCCGCCGCGCCGGGTCCACGTGTGTGTGTCTGTGTGCGGAATGGGGACGGGGGCGGTGCCGCCGGAGGGGTGGGGTCCGGGCTAACGTCACGGGCAGTGCTGCCCAATCAGCGGCGGGCTCGCGGCCCGGGCGCTGGTATTGGGGCAGCGAGGGGGCAGTTCTCTATAACGCGGTCTCCGGGAGCCAGCGGGGAAGAAAGAAGCCGAGCGGGCGGAAGGCGGCCTCCCCGGCGACCGGGCCC